ATCAGCCTCCAACAGGTCATGCACGGCAAAATGGTTGCTGCCTCTAAACCATCTGCGACCAAAGGCCTTTTTGCTCCTGCGTGTTGTAAACACGAGGTCTTGTGCCTCGAGACTTGAATATATCCTGCATGAAAGGAACCCTTTCGGTATACTCCATGAGCCATTTGCCAGACGAGAAGTATAGGTAGAGGGAACCACCCCTTTCACCACATCCTAGCACAATTGTGCAGACGTCTCTAGTCCGGGAGTAGCAAACAAGTTGCTCATGTGGGACAAAAGATGTTTCATGGAGCTCGACTGCTTGCTGTGCTTGGGCTTGTCCAACTGTCTACGCTATTGCTGCTTGTAGCAACAACGGAGTCTACTCCTTTGCAGGTATCGACTGACAATTCACAACACTCAATGAAGAAGAAGAAGAAGAGATATGGGGAGGAGGGGCAATGATAGACTGGTTAGCAGCATTAGAGGCAGAAGGTAGAGGAAGAGAATTAGGGACCTGAGCCTGATGCACACTTGCCATCTGCTGCATCTGATCACGGTACTCCTTGGCCATGTCCGCGATCTGCGTCTGCAGTTTGCTCACCTGGTCAAACAGTTTACACGCCCTACCAGGAAGTTCACCGAGCATGTAACAGTCTATGAGATCACGCACATCGGTATTTGTTGGTGTACATCTTCTTCTTCTTCTTCTTTCCCTCTCTCTCCTCTCAAGTTCATTCATTTCTTTTTGCAACTGGACGGCATTGTGCATTCTCGTGATTTTGCACTTCAAAATTGGCCAAGATCGTAACATTTACTACTACTAGGAACATTGTTCGGAACATACCATGGGCCTCACTCCACTCCACAACACTCTACATGCATTTGGACGCAATGTGGACCACGTACATCCAAAATGCTGGACTCGTCCGAATGCACCTGGTCCAGAAGTGTCCTAACATGTACGGTGTTGTGTATTGGAGTGAGACCTCATGCTGCACTTTTCCGACACGACCGCAAAGCAGTGCAAACCAGCCTGATAGTCTGTCCTGTCGATGAGTTTATGGCATCTCAAATCGTTCTGCGCCGGGGAATTCTTGCAATGTCAACGAAGTTACAAACACTTTGACATTGCAATTATCTTCCTGGAAACTAAAGGCGACAGACAACCAGGCATGGTGATAGGAGTGAATGCAATCCCTCGAAAACGATCCATCAAGCACATTTGAAGGGCTTTGGGAGGCAATAAGGAGAAAGTAGGAGAAAGAAAAAAGGAGGTGAAGAAGGAGAAAGGAGGAGAAAGGAGGAGAACGAAGGAGAACGGAGGAGAAAGTGAGGAGACATGAGAGAAAGGGGGAATGGAGAAGGAAGAGAAGGAAGAAAATTAAAAAAAAGAAGAAGATCCAAAGAAAAGAGTGGAGAGAGGAGAGAAAGGGTATATGGAGAAGCAAGAGAAGGAAAAGAAAGAAGAAGGGCGCGGGAGGCAGGAGTAGGTAAGGAAGAGAGAAAAAGGAAGGATGAGGAGGAGGGAGTACGAGTGACAGATAAGGAATTGAAGGACGGGGGGACAAGAGTGCAGGACGGCGGAAGGCAAGCAAATGTAGGGGGCAAAGAGATGCAAAGATGGAAGGTTTTGCACACGTTTTCTTTCATCCTTCCCCCCCCCCCCCCCCCCCCTTTTTTTTTTTTTTTTTAAAGGCTACCTCAGCCTACCTGTCGAATCTGGACAGGATGGCCTTTCAGGCCTTTTTCATTGTCCCCCCCCCCCCCCCCCCCCCCCTTTTCATCCTATCTTGGGCAATCGATGAAAGGTCTTCTAACATTTCACTTAACATATCACCTAACAAAAATTTTGTCGAAAAATTTATTTAACATCCTACCCCTGGCGGAACCCATCAGTGTCACCGTCTCAGGTTCTCTTGGCCACAATGGAGAGAGGCCTGGAGTGGGTGAGCTTTTCGTATGGGACACTACAGCCTTTCCCAGAATACAACGTACGGTCATTATAGTTGAATTTGGGGTGTCTTTCAGTCTAAATACAGCTATAATGACAGTACGTTGTATTCGGGGGAAGAGGGTAGACCCGCTTTCCAGCTAATAAACCGCCAGTACATTGCGCGAGCCAACTTGAGAATCACAACTGAGCCTCCCCTAAAATTCCGGAGGCTCAGGACAACCGGACAAAAACGGCTGGTGGCGCCAGCCAAGACGAAAACAAAAACGCCTCAGTAGCATTTCAGCAAAGCTTGATGCGCAGTGGGGATTCCACCTCATGCGAAAGAGGCCCGGAAGTACTGGTGGTTTAACACCAAGGCGATGTTTCAATAATTTAAAAATAAAATACAATAAAACAAGGGGACCCACCGCGGCTCTGCGCGCGGCGAAGAGAGGGGATGTGGGTGAAGAGGTCGGAGGTCCGGAGGCGGCAACACCATTCCGAGCAAGTTGAGCACTTCATCAATCCCGCCTCCCTCTCCTCCCTCACCCTTGCAATCCCGACGCCCTCCCGCACCGATTGCGACTCCCTCTTCCTTCCGCCTCCTTCCCCAATCTCGACTTTCGCTGGCGATCTCCCATCAAGCTCCCCCACCCCTCCTCCGTTTCCCCAATCGGCGCTCCGATCCCGACTCCCCCTCCTCTCCGCCTCCTTCCCCAATCCCGACTTCCGCCGCCGATCTCACATCAAGCTCCCTCCCCTCCCTCTCCTCCCTCCCGTCCCTCTCCTTCCTCAATAATCGGGCCCCTCCCCTCCTCCCCCACGCTACCGATCCCCACGTTCCGATCCCGACTCCCCCTCCCC